CAGCATGTCAGTCAGAAAAAAACCCTGCTTTGTGCGATCCTAGTGGGTTTCCGACAGGCTGAAGTGTTAGAGATATCTTACGCTGAACACATTCTTGATGAAAGTATCAAGTGTTCTTGAAAAACCTATCAATTATGACATACTCCGCTGAGTGGGGAGTAATGCTGACTCAAACTACGATATTCGCAATTTGCAGGTGTAGGTCCTAAGCCTTCCGTCATTTGCCTAACTGTTTTGACCTCATGTGCAGGGCACGCCATCATAGTGATAATCACAACGGGGGCTGTATTTGACCGCGAGGAAGGGGAGAGAGTGGTCGTATTTGGTCTGGTAAATTTTTTTTGATAGTTGATTTCTCTTGTTTCACCGATGCTATGAAGGAGTAGGGGTCGTATTTGCTCGTTGTTGGGAGGAGGCGGGAGAGGCTTATTTGTCACGGAGAGGAATTTGCGGCGTTGGGAAAAATTAAGCCCCCTAGTTGGCGGCACTGCCAAAGATTTATAAACTACTTTTCCTGAGGACCACCCCTCCCCCGCTCGAGAGCAAAATTTTTTCATGCAAGTAGGGAAATATTCGGGAAATTGCGGAAAAAGTGGTAGGAAGTTGGGAACATCCAAGTGGTAGATAGGATGGGGAGGGGAGTCGTAATAGAGGATGGAATTGGGGGGAGTCGTATTTTCCGGAGTTTATCACAACGCGTTGGCGTGCCCTGCTCATCTGAGTAGACTCTCTGAACTGATGATTAATTCTGCACGCAACTGTTCGTGCGGATTACGGTAATCCCATCTTTGGACAAGAAAAATTTTCCAGTGCGAAAGAATGTTGCAGGCTTCGTCTGTTCTCAGCTTCTTCGTTTTTTTGAATCATAGAAGATATTTAGTGTCGAAAGGTGCGAAAAAATGACTGGAGGATTTCGGCCCACTTCTAAATGAAGGAGCTCCTAGATGGGTGTGCGCCGCCATTAGTGTCCGCTTCGGTTGTCCTAATTATCGTATCACGTTCGAAAGTAGTAGGGTATCTCCTTGTTCTGATGCAGTTTGTCTTGGTGCAGGTCATTTGCTTCTTCCCATCGGTCATCGATGGTGCCAGCTATGGAGGGTTACCGGGCTTCTGTCAACCAAACATTCTCCCACTGTCTCAGAGTTCAGAGGTACTTTTCCATGGCCTCTATCGAAGGGGGATGGAAAAGATTGATAGAAAAGGGAAGGAAAACGGGAGGATGGTTAGCGGTTGACAAGTATTCTGAAGCGCCTGTAGAGCCCTATAAGCTCCTTGAAAAGCTTTTCAGTAGCAGGAGCTCCTTTTACACTCGACAAGGGTCACCGAAGTGAGACGTGCAAACTAACAAGTGCCAGAATAATGTCCCTCCTCTGAGCTGAATAGCACCGCCCCCCCCTCCCCCCTCTCTAGAGCCCTTGTTACGAAGCTAAGTCGTTGTTGTGGCTTCGAATGCTTGGATGCTTTGCACTGCTACAAAACTTCTTTGGTGGATTAGCGCCAAGCGGACCAATGAAGGAGTAGTGGCTAATGGGAGGAAATCCCTTGGAAAAGGATCACTTCTAAGGAGTCATTGAACACAAAAAAGCGACCGTCTCGAGCCCTGCTCTTCTGAAAAGCGCCAATCCCGGTTGGACTTTGCTACATTTATTGCGTTACTTTTATTACGTACACATTGTCATCACATTGAGAATGAATTGACACTGGGCGCGAAGAAGTTGTCGAAAATGCAAGCGTGTGACGGTTCAGCATTAATATTCAATGCGGCACGGTGACAGATGCCCCACGATGTGACGTGTAATTCGCTGACTCCACCCTGCGGTGGACCACGCCCCAAACGACGATTGGACGGTTGCTGAAGGCTGTCCAACACAGCCTTCTACTGTAGTTTATTATGACGATGAACTCGACTGACTTCGAGTATACTGAGACGAAACCTCCACTTTCGGCCATGGGCCATGTGGTCGAGTCCATAGGCGTCGACACCGACAGTCAGGTGAGCTTTCAGTGTTATTCAGTTTTTCCTCTCTAATCCTCTCGGGGATATTCAGGGTAAATGCCGGGTATGTTCTGGTAGAATATCCGACCGATACCTGGTCAGAGTGAGTGAAGCCAATGTGATCGTGACCTTTGTTGAGCTTCGCCGCCGCACCTCCTTGAGCTTTTTCTGCTCCCGACGTGTATTCCTCCAACAGACCACCATTCCAGATCGATTCGCGAGTATTTCATGAAAACTGCCTCCGGTGCTGCGTTTGCGACGTTCAACTACAGGAGAAGTGCTTCGAGAAGGACGGTCAACTTTACTGCAACACGCATTACTTCAAGTGAGCACTTGACCCTTTTCGGTTAGTTCCAAGTTCAAAGTATCTCTTACAGAGACTGTAGCCCTTATCGTTGCTCAGGATGTAAGCTCGGGATTTCTCCTACGGATATGGTGTACAAATTGAAGGTGAGTACAATAGGTTCGCATGCGGTACAGCATCGCCAGGACAGTACACAGGTTTGCATGCGGTACAGCATCGCCAGAAGGATCCTTTTTTGCTTGCTGGTAGAGGGCAGGGATGTCATTACTGAAGAGCAAGCTAAAGAAAGATGGTGAAGGGCGTTCCCGATCCAGGGCGCCACATCCGCTTGCACGGTTAATCGTTACATGGCAGCCGCACAGAAGAGATCGGTCGATGACATTTCTCATCCACTTCGACAAGAAGATGCTACCTGAAAATCTGCTAAAGGTTCCAAATGAGTTTGGTACAACGGCTGAGAGGAAACTCGCAGTTCGGCTAGGGGAAAAAGGGGCATTTTTACACTTCAGCTACTTCCCATTGTCATGTCCAGCCATCAAGTAGAGTTTGCGAAATCTTGTGAAGCCATGGAGTGAATACTACTCAACGTTTGTAGAAACTACTTGTCAACTCTTGTGAAGCAATGAAAACAACGGAAAGTGGGGGAAAATCCCTACTCCCCCCCT